GGTGCTCCCGACATAGCAGGACCTCTGCTCTGAACCTCCAGAAGAAGTCTGCAAGCCCGTAAGAGGGGATGTGAGATATCTTTGGAGGACTTCAACTTTTATTGAATATTTCATAATACAAAACGGTACATACAACATCTATGTAAGATATTAATCCCCTATCGTATCTACTTCTTCTGACCCAAAACGATTGTATCCTCAAATTTGTTTTTATCATTTTGGAGTGGTTTTGAGCTCTGAATTTAGAAATTTCATGGATTGTTGAAATGGTCCCTCATGCAAATGATCAGAAATAAGATAGGCCGGGAGACGATATTTGGGTTTGTCTGCCATTCTGTTCACTTTGGGCCTTCTCTTCCCAGGCAGGAGAGGGCTACCTTGGTGTGCCTGCTCTGCTCAGGGAACTGGCTCTTCCAATGATCTGCTTGACTTTTTTGCTTAAACAGAATAAATTCGCTTTCCCCCATTTAAACAGGTCCTTAAGACAACAGCAAGTATTGACACCACATTCATCTTTGTGCAGATTTAAACACAACATGGCCCCTGCCAGCTGAGGAGGCAACACTCCACCACACCTGCTCACTCTGAGGTGCAGACCTGGCTTATTTTGAAAAGACCTCTGTGATTCTGGCAGCTTTATGAATATGAAAGACTAGGGTAGTCACAGGTTACAGAAATAAGGGGCTTACAAACTCTGCATAGATGGTACAAGCTGAACAATTTTCAGATACAATGTGGTACTTCTATCAAGCATCATTACTGTGTAATCTTACAATTAAAACTCCATATACAGAATTGTCAAGGCAGCAAAAGAGCAAAACTGACCATAATTCCCTGTAAATAAATGAAATGAAAACCTCATTTGTGACAGAAGTCAGCCACTTGGGATCCTGGGCTGGGCTTCTCCTACTTGGGGTCACAGTGCATCTCTGAAGCTGAGGGAAGAAGAGGTCAAGTGATGCCCTCCACCCAAAGGAGAGAAGTTGTCACAGAGACTGCCTGATGTCCTAATGCTAAATTCAGAAGATGAGGTTTACAAAGAAAGGCTCTAGGGGCTGGCACCACAGGAACCCCCAACCTCCAGTTAAAGAGCCAGAGACGCAAAGTCAAATCCTGTCTACCCTTTAGATTCCAGCTGGCCACCTTGGTAAGAGGGACTTGTCCTTAATGACAATTTAATCTTGGGGAGACATATTGACTTGCCATCAATTCTCTTGGAAAGTCACGGGAACACAATCCTAAACTTGAATGCTCGCAGTATGGGAGTTGGGAGCAGCACTGGGGAGAGCTAGGTGGACACGACTTTGGGCACGTTTAGTGGTTTGGAAAGACAACTCTGGCCCCATGGGGGGAATCCTGGCCTTGTGCAATTAGAGTGTGTTTCCCCACAGCAGCCCCCAGAAGCTCTTTGTGCAGACAGCGGGGTGCTGAACAAATGTTTTTAAAAAGGTATGAACCTTCTATGAATCTATGGTCTAAATTTTCGATACCATACTCAGGGAAAAGGGTGTCAGCTTTGCTTGTAAAAGTCAGTGGAGGAACTAAAAGGTCTGGGCAAAGTGGCAGAAGTTAGATTGAACAGAGAAGTCATAACATGCCTGCGCCGAGAGGTGGGGATTCTGGAGGTTTTCTCTAGTTTCGGTGACCGTGGGTTCTGGGTCATGCTGCAATACGCTTGTAGCTTCTTTTGCTTTGTCATGGTAGAGTCAGAGGACCTGGAAATCTGGCTCTAGCCGCTCAGAGATAGTGCCCCACCCTGGCCTTGGAGGAATCCCAGCACCGCTAAGGCAGTTTTGTATTTGGGTGAGGACCAGGGTGTGTGTTGGGGTAACTGGAAGCTGAGTAGACCCCTCTGCCCGGCTTCTTCCTCAGGACCTGGGTCACTCTCTCTTTCCTCCTATTCCAAGTCTCCTCAAACTTGAAGGGCGGCTCAGAAGAGAGAAAAAGGTCATAGAACCTACCAGCTCTCCTGGGAATTTGTGGGCCAGCCTGAAGACACTGCAGGGCCCGCACACTGGAGCTAGTGTCTGGGACTGCCTGAATTCCCGTCTAAATCTCTCAGGGCTATGAAATTCCCACAGCCTAGGAGTTCGGCAGACCAAAATATTGCAGACAGTAAACAAAAGTGGTCAAAGCCCTCATTTCTGGCCAATACAGATCTTTCGTGTTTTCTCTCGTGTTTTCTTTCTTCTTTATCCATCTCAGTTGCGCCCTATGGTGTCCACCCTCCTCGAGCTCCTAGCCCCACGGTGGGCCTCTCACCTTCACTTACTTTTTTATTAAGAAGCTAGAAACAACCACTTGAGCTCCTTCGACTTTGCCTTATAGTTTTCGACTCACCTGTAGTTTTCTTAATTGTCCCTCTCCTTCCTCTAGGTCCAGAAGACTGAAGTGTTCCTGGTTTCCCAGGTCGCCCTCTCCTTGCAGTTCCTGATCACGCCCCTTCCTAGGGCTAGATCTCAGGGGCTCTCATTAATGACTTGTTTCCCTTGACCTACAAGTTGACCCAGGAACAGCCCCTCTGTCCTCTTCCTTCCCCACCAGATTTCCTGGACGAGTGCATGCAAACCACCCCTCTGTCTCCCTTGGCCTCGCGTTCCAGGTCTCGTCCTCTGGAACCTGCCATCACTGGGCTTACGCCACCTTGCCCGTGACATTGCCCTGCAGCACCTGCCACCCTTCCTTGATATTCTTAGCTCCCCAGAGGGGGCTACCCTCTTATGATTTCCCTCCTACTTCTGTTCCTCTTTCTGCACTAGAAATGCAAGAATTCCTTAAGATTCTATCATTAAAATTAACCTCCTTCTCTCCATATCCACAGTCATCCAATGTACTTCGTTGTCAGTATGGCAGGGCTCCCAATCTAGTTCTCTAATTCCCGCCTCTTTTCAGATTGATTCCTAATATCTAGCGACCACTTCCCCCAGCCTCTTTAGGTCCAAACCATGTCTACCACTCCCCTCTCCCTGCCACACTCAAATGACTCTGTTTGAAATCCTAGCTCCACCAGAGGCACCCTCAACATTTAGCTCTTGTGGGGTTCTCCATTACAAACTACTATATCAAGCCGGTTAGTAAATTCACATGATTCTGGCAAATTTTCTTACACATAAGACTGCTGTTTCAGAACTCAAATTTTAGTCTGAGCCAGAAAGCCAATTTTGACATTCCCGGTCCATTCCTTTATAAACACACAATATTGGTTAGGGGACCGTGAAGAAAATAACCTTGTGATTCTCACAAGTTAAGTATCACTTAAGCTACCTGATTTCCACTTAAGAACAACTGTTGAAGGAACATAAACTCAGAGACTCAGAAAACACTCTAAATGACTCTAGAATGCATTTACAATCCTGTGCTCGATTTCCTAAAATTTTCACCATTCTAATCCCAAACTCAGTCTAGGTTTATGAATCAGGACTTCTGAGGCAGGCTTTCCTTTATTTGGGAAGGCGGGTTGTCACTAGAGACCTTTTTTTCATGCTTTATCCCATTTCACAATCTGGAATCTGCTTGCTTGATAATTAGGCCCGATCTGCTACCATCTGCGCAAAATCAAAAGCCTAAGTGATCTTTTCTAGACCTTAGGAAACCAAACCAAATGGCTCGTTGATGCACCCCCCCC